CCCCAAATTACCAATAGTAAACAAGGCATTGCAATCCTAATTAAAAGAAATCTGCCTCATTCTACCTATTACCCTACTTCCTCTATATCATCTGTTGCTGTAGAGCTCCAGTTAGCAAACAAAATTTCAATTATTTGTGCTTATTCTCCTCCTAATGAATTTTTCTCTTTAACCGACTTTAATAATCTTACTCCCTCTTCCTCTACTCCCTATATTATAGCAGGTGACTTCAATGCTTGGAGTCCCCTTTGGGGTTCTCCTTCAGCTAATTCTAAAGGTCGTCAAATTGAAGATTTTTTACTTACTTCTAATGGAATTATTCTGAATGATGGATCCCCCACCCACTTTTCTACTCACTCTTCCTTTACTCATATTGATATCACCCTTTCTTCTTCTTCTCTATCCTCTAAATGTTCTTGGCATCCAATAGATGATCTTCATGGGGGTGATCACTTTCCTATAGTCACCAAAATCTCTACTTCCCGTGTTTTAACGACCTTTAAGCCCAGATCCTTGTTTAAAACAGATTTAGCTAACTGGGTCAAATTTGAAGACTCCTGTTTTAGATTTTCCAACTCATTTCCACCCTCCTCTAATATCAATCAGGAAACTTCCAGGATTCATAAAATTATTCGATGCGCAGCTAATCAATCTATCCCTGTATCGTCATCGAAACCTGTTAGGCCTACCCCCTTATGGTGGAACAGTGATCTAGCTGAGTTAAGACAATATAAACAACGTAAATGGCATGAATTCAAACGTAATCGCACCTCAACCAATCTTATTCATTACAAGAAATCTTACGCTTTATTTCGACGTGCATCTAAAGTAGCCAAAATGTCTTGCTTCCAAAATTCACTTCCTCCATTAACTCTTCTTGTGACACCAAAAAAATTTGGTCGGATATAAGAAGGCTAACTGGATTTCCATCTTCCTCATCCATCACGTCAATTAATTCACCTCGAGGCAAACTTCTATATCCACGGGATATAGCTGAAGAATTTGCTCTCTATTATTCCAATAACTCCTCTGACTCTAGTCTCCCTTCTCAATTTTATTCTACTAAATGTTCAATTATCTCATCCTCGTATCTCCCTCCTAACGCTCTATCTTCCTCTGCCAAGCTATTAGATGCTAATCTTTCTCTACTTAAATTCCGCACAGCTCTATCCNCCCTACAATGACCTCCTCTCTCTTCATCAAGAGCGACATAAACCGGCTTATAGCTCAACAAAGAAGTGCCAAGTTAGCAGCTGACTGGATGAATTATACCCATCATTACTCCCGGATTAACATTAATCGGTCTAAACCAACGTATTCGACGTCTGTCCCAGCAAACTACATCACTCCCTATATACGATTACGTATTGGCCACACCATTATTACAAACAGTCATCTACTGAATGGTACCAGTCCTAACCAGTGCCCTTTTTGTGATTCCACCGTTAGCGTTCTACACATTGTAGCTTTTTGTCCTGTTCTGGCAAATCACAGACATCGCATTTGAATTTGGATTACTAATGAACCCTTCTACTAACAATATATGCAAAATTTATAATTTTCTCAAGGATACTGATCTTCTCCGGCGCATTTAAGACAAAGCCTTTTCACCAGCCAGCCGAAAGCCTCTGCTGCTAGCGCTGCTTTTTCATAGGTTGTATAATGATTGTTATTATTATATAAGCTTTCTTAAATAAATAAATAAAAAATAAAATAAAACAATTGAACTCATTTTTGTTTTCACTTTTTTAATATTTTCAAATCAAATTTGACACTTCAGAGCGCAATTGACAAGTTGGAGTTTTTTTCCTCTTTTCTACAATCGGATTCAATATTAACTTCGAAACAAAAGTTCCGATCGGATTGTGGAACACAAGCCGAATATATGGAAGGTGGTGTTCAAGGCGAATTTATACACGGTGGCGTTACTGGCGAATTTAGATTACAACAACAACCACATTTGGGGTGTTCACAGTTCGTTCCAAATAGTGTCTGAAAATGTAGACGTCTACATTTTCAGACACTATTTGGAACGAACTGTGAACACCCCAAATGTGGTTGTTGTTGTAATCTAAATTCGCCAGTAACGCCACCGTGTATAAATTCGCCTTGAGCACCACCTTGTATAAATTCGCCTTGACACCCGCATTAAAAAATAATTGGGGTGTTCACAGTTCGTTCCAAATAGCGTCTGAAAATGTAGACGTCTACATTTTCAGACACTATTTGGAACGAACTGTGAACACCCCAAATGTGGTTGTTGTTGTAATCTAAATTCGCCAGTAACGCCACCGTGTATAAATTCGCCTTGACACCCGCATTAAAAAATAATTGGGGTGTTCACAGTTCGTTCCAAATAGCGTCTGAAAATGTAGACGTCTACATTTTCAGACACTATTTGGAACGAACTGTGAACACCCCAATTATTTTTTAATGCGGGTGTCAAGGCGAATTTATACAAGGTGGTGCTTAAGGCGAATTTATACAAGGTGGTGTTGATGGCGAATTTAGATTTTCGCCGTGGTACTTATTAATGTCAAAATAATGCGTTGTTGTAAACAAGGCGAGTTCATATTACAACAAACACACTATTTTGACATTAATAAGTACCACGGCGAAAATCTTAATTCGCTATCAACCCACCGTGTATATATTCGCCTTGGATTTGACGTATGCAGACCAGTGTTGCCGCGAAACTTTTTAGCGGTAGCTAAATTCAGGCTAAAAAAGAGCTAAAAATCGTCGTTGTGGCTAAAAATGGTAGCTAAATTTTTTTACCTACATATAAATATATAAGTATACACGCAAACATTTTCTATAAGTAATGATATAGAAAAACAATGAACTCTGGAAAGAATTAATAGTTTATTCAACAAAAAAACTTGTTGTGTAACACATAAAGCATATTAAGGGCCGCCAACTTACCTATTTTAAAGTATAGTTAAATCGTTAATGGATAAGATAACGGCCCAGAAACGTAAAAAACATACATATACATATGTATGTACAGTTTGAAAATTAATTTCTTACATAAACAAAAAAATGAGATCACATTAAGAATACATAAGTACTAGAATCATATCTATATACAGTGTCGGACAATACTAAATAACTTAAATAATTTCAAACTATGCTTCGAAAAATATCCATTTGTAAAAGAAATTTTTAAAATGTTATGTTATAATTTACAAAGAATTAAAATGTCGGTGCTTTATTATTGTCCGACGCTGTATGTATCAAACAAACAAAAGAGTATTCATTTAATGAACTCATAGTAAAATAATTTAATCTATAAACATTTTTTTAACACATTAAATATTTATATCTATATCAATACTATCATCGCTAAGCGATTCTTCGTCGTTACAATTTTGTTCATTTCTCATTAACCTGACGATATCATCTGTAATTTCAAAATCATGACAACATTTCTGTACATTTTTTAAGCCATATCTTACAGTTAATAAAGCGTTTAACATTGCAAAATTCATTTTATTTCTGTGCTTATTTTTAACGAAATTTATTATAGAAAACGTCCTTTCAACTTCTGCGTTACTTAAAGGTAAAAGAAGCAACCGATAAACAAACTTTTTCCACCACTTAAGCTAGCGACACAATGAACAGTTTACTTGCCTTAAAGGAAAGGCGTTCGCTTTATAAGCGAAGAGTTAAATTCATGAAAATCATATAAAAAATTTTAATGTCAATGATGAATAAATTTTGAAAAGGGCTAAAAAAAGGGCTAGGGGCAATTTCAAATTTTTGTGGCCAAAAAAAGAATTTGGTAGCCAAATTTAGCCACCAAAGGGCTAAAACGGCAACACTGATGCAGACAATAATTTTGACGTCTCGTGCAAGAAGGAAAATTCAAAAGAATATATTTACATATAATAATGGAAGAAGCGTTGATTTTGATTTGGCTGTTTTATTTTGCGTAAGAAATAGCGAAATATTATTAATACTTAACATTTAAATCACTAAATAGAAAAACTTTTTTTGCAGATAAGAATGGAAAAGCAAAAAAAGCAGGAGGAAACGCTAAAACTAATTGCGCTTTTCTGAGAACGTGGGGTGTTGTGGAACATGAACTGCATTTCATATAGACGCAATGATCTAAAAAAAAGGTAATTAAGGAAAAGGTTGACCTGAGCAAAAAGTCCGGCAGTAAAGCCACCAGTGTATATGAAAGCTCTTTATATTGGTATAAATACTGGTGGGGAAATGGGGGGAATGGAAAATGGAAAACCTTACTTAGGGTTTACACCGGACAATACTGTCATGACAATAGCAATACATGTACACTTTTTCACTAATGCATGCAAACTTTTCCATTGGGACAATTTTGACAACTAATACGTATATCTTTATTGTTTTGACAGCATAGTCCAATGTAAACGCGCCGTACGATGATAATAGCCCTTTCTTTGTAGGACGTTCTTTTCATTGGCATCTTACTTAGGGTTTACATTGTACAATGCTGTCACGGCAATGAAGATATACGTATTAGTTGTCAAAATTGTTCTAATGGAAAAGTATGCATGTATTGCTATTGTCATGGCAGTATTGTCCGGTGTAAACCCTAAGTAAGGGCCAGTGCCATAGCTCATGGGGCTAGGTAAAATTTTGTCAGCTTATATACATATGTATACACATAATATTGCTTGGCAGTTATAAAGAGTGAACGTGAAAATGAATGCTGAAAAAGCACAAAAAAGCGTACATTACTTGCAAGTTATAAAATAAATATAAATTTTAACAATTTCAGCAACACAAACATTTTTTTTTAGCTTCTTCTTCTTCTTTTTTGGCGCTGTAACCGCCTAAGCGATTTTGGCCGAGTTCAACAAAGCACGCCAGTCGTTTCTCCTCTGTGCTAACTGACGCCAATTGGAAACGCCAAGTCCTTCTCCACCTGATCTTTCCATCGCAGTGGGGGCCTCCCTCTTCCTCTGCTACCACCAGCGGGCTCCGAGTTGAATACTTTCAGAGCTGGAGCGTTGGTGTCCATTCGAACGACATGACCAAGCCAGCGGAGCCGCTGTATTTTAATTCGCTGCACTATGTCCATATCGTTGTAAAGCTCATACAGCTCATCGTCTGCGGTACTCGCCGTCGCCAACGCGTAAAGGCCCGTAAATCTTTCGCAAAATCTTTCTCTCAAACACTCCAAGAGCCGCCTCATCGGATGTTGTCATTATCCATGCTTCTGCGCCATATACCAGCACGGGCATGATGAGTGACTTATAGAGCGTGGTTTTCGTACGTCGAGAGAGGACTTTACTCCTGAATTGCCTACTCAGTCCAAAGTAGCACTTGTTGGCAAGAGTGATTCTACGTTGGATTTCAATGCTGACATTATTATCGGTGTTAATGCTGGTTCCCAAGTAAACGAAATTCTCTACTTTCTCGAAATTGTAACTGTCAACAGTGACGTGGGTGCCAAGGCGCGAATGTGCTGACTGTTTGTTTGATGACAGGAGATACTTCGTCTTGTCCTCGTTTACCACCAGACCCATGCGCTTTGCTTCCCTATCCAACTTGGAAAAGGCAGAACAGACTTCGCGGTTTTTGTTACCGATGATGTCGATGTCATCGGCATAAGCCAGCAATTGCACGCTCTTGTAGTAAATTGTTCCTGAGCGGTTCAGTTCTGCAGCTCTTATTATCTTCTCCAACATCAGATTAAAGAAGTCACATGAAAGGGAGTCGCCCTGTCTGAAACCCCGTTTTGTGGCGAACGGCTCGGAGAGGTCTTTTCCAATTCTGACGGAGCTGGTGGTATTGCTCAACGTCATTTTACACAGCCGTATGAGTTTTGAGGGGATGCC